CTCGGTGTCCTCGCCTGAAAACGGACCCAGCTCGGTGCTGGGGCTCAGCCTTGCTTTCTGGGGTCGTGAACGCTCTGAGTCTCACAACGTCGCGTCCCTTGAGCCCAGGGTGGCTCAGCTGGACACCTCCAGTCCCCCACAATTCCCTGGGTGCCAGGACCCTTCTGGTTCAGCCTGCAGATTCCAGCCGACAGAGGAGAGGGCAAGCAGGGTGCATACATGAGATGTGAGTTCCGGGTTTTCCTCTGCATGCCCAGGGGCCCCCTCTGCCTGGCACTAGCCTGCAAACTGGGGGGCCCCCCCAGCCTCCCAGTGGCTGCGAGCACCCATGGGGGGGCGGGGGCAGTTTGCCTCAGTGAGCTCTGATTGGCCCAGTTGCATCAGCGAGTTCTGATTGGCCCATTTACATCGGCGCATTCTGATTGGCCCATGATGGTCTCATTCCCTGGGCCAGGGATTGGTGGCTGTGTGTCCGTGTAATTCGGCTCTGTGAGGGGAGGGTAGGGGAGGGGAGGCAGTAGAGAAGGGGGGTGTGTCCCAGACTCGGTGCAGCCTGACCGGGGGTCCTTCCCCCCTCACCCCTGCACCCCTGCACCCTGGGGGCTACGCTCTGGTGCCAAGGATGCACCAGGAGGTCCAGCTCCTGGCTGACAGCATCAGTGAGCCTCTAAGCAAGACGGATTTCCCACACCAAGTCTAAACTTTGTATTGCTTAGGCCTCCTTACTGGAGCTCAAAGAAAAGTTCCTCCCTCCCGGCCTCCCCCAGCCGTGGTTCACCTTGAGACTAAGTCCCTCAGGCCCGAGGAAGGGGCTGAGCTCAGCCATACACTCACGGAGGCCTTCCTGGAAGAGGGGAAGGCTAGAACAGAATGCAAAAGAACAAGCAGGTGGACAAAGTGGGTAGGTAGGCGAGAAGGACCCCTTCGGACAGAGAACAAAGGGCTGGTGGGAAAAGTGTGGGTGCCAGGAACACTCTGTGGGCTCAGGGCCAGGTGGGAGAGGGCTCAGCCACAGATGGCCTTTCGCCAGGCCACTGGACGTCAGGGTGTGGGGGAATCAGTGGGCTCCTCAAGTGTGATCTTGGGGGGCTCACCCTCGAGATGTGTGCTCTGAGCCTCCCCCCCGCCTCTGGACCAGAGGCGCACCCACACTGCCCCGAGCTGGGACAGAGGCATGGCGCTTCTCCAGGGACGCCGCGGCTGAGGCTGGGGCTGGAATCTGGGTCACCGTCCCCGCATCGGTGGCAGTGGACAGGCAGGCACTAGTGTCTATAAAGCGGCGAGCTGAGCACAGGGCCGGGTGGCCTGGGTCCCAGACCCAGCTCCGCCATCCTCCCGCGGCGTGACCTTGAGCCTGCCGGCCAGGTCTCCCAGCTCGGCTGCAGATGGGAGAGCAAAGTGGCAGCCCTGATTATCTCCGGGGGTGTGGCGGGGCTGGGGCGAGCTGCCCGGAAAGTTCTGCACTTGGAGGCCGGAGAACAGGAGCAGGCGTTAGCAATGGAAGTCGGAGAGGCGGGTGCTGGCTCAGGAGTCCCAAACTGGGCTTCAAGCAATAACGGTCAGCCCTGGAGGGCCCATATCTGGGCAGCAACAGATGGAGGGATCCAGAGGGCCTGGGGGCTTTGTCCTGCTCTGTTGACCCTTTGGGCTGGTCACTGTAGGATGGGCAGGAGATAGCAGCTCCAGGTCCAGTTGTATCACATCCTGGAGCGGGCATCGAACCCCAGCCCTCCCGGGGCTCCCAGAGCGTCTCTGTAAAGCAGTGTAACGCCTAATGCACACGGCTGTGCCACACATGCACAGACATGCAGGCACACACACACACACGCACACACATAGAGACAGATGCAAAGACACACAGATGCATGCGCACACACACACACACACACACACAGCAGAGGGACTGGGACCCCTTCCACCCAGCTAATCCCTAATTTGGGGGGACACTTCCCAAACAGGGCTCAGGGACTTGGGGCCGTCCGCAGTGGAACTGGGCTAAGCAGACAGCACCTCAGTGCTCAGGCCCGTACGGTACCACTACTTGGGCCTGGTGGTGGGGGTGACCTGGGGTATCCCAGCAGTGGTGGGGAATTCATGGGACACCAGGCATCAAAACTTGGGTTTTTGCACGTGTAAGCCATATGCCCCGACCCCCGAGCCATGCCAACCTCCCTCCCTGCCTGTAACTCCTATTTTAAAACCTGACATGCTAATGTCACCTCTTCCAAAAGCCCCCCACCTCTCAAATCAACTCCACAACTCCATCTATTACGCCCAGGAACCCCCTTCCCAGACTCCTCCCTGTTCTCCTCATCCCCTCTTTCTTTCTTAACCAGGCTCTGAGCTTCAAAGAGGGCAGGGGCGCTGGCTGGAGATACTGGATCCAGCCGCACCCCTACTCCGAGTAGGGCCCCCAGCCTTTAGTCCAGAAAGATGGGAGGGGAAAGACAGGCGAAGAGCTCACGGGGAGGGGCAGGAGACGTTTCAGGGCGCTCTCTCAAGGTACTCAGGGGCTTGCGCTGACTCCTGGCTCGAACATTCAGAATGACTCCTGGAGGTGCTCAGGGGACGCTATGGGACGCCACGGGTTGAGGATCCGACCAGGGCTGGGCCCCACCAGCCTCTTTATCTCGAGACCTTGAAGTATGGCAGGAGAACGGAGTCACCCAAGGTCCCAGCCAGGGACAGAGCCTGGACTGCGCTAGGGGGGGATCCAGAGGGAGTGAGGGACGACCCAGGCAGCTAGACAGGGCCCCCCTCCCCCAAGCCGTGTCGAGGGACACTAGTGGGCAGTTGGGGGGGGGAGACAGTCCAAAGGGGCCCCGACATGCCACCTGGGTGCTGAGCACCAAGTACTGCTCAGTGACCCCTCGGAGCTCCCCGCTTCCCGAGACCATTCAAACCATTCACAGGTAGTTCTCCCCAAAGGGGAGGGCGAGACTCAGACAGGGAGGGCAAAGGGCCCTACCTTGCCGCTTGGGGGGGGGAGTGGGAAGGGGAGGGCAGCACCCATGGCCAGTGTCGGTGCCCAGCCGCCCATGTGGAGTACGACCCTTGAGACATGGTGACCCTTGACCCCTGAGTCATCTGAAGACTGGACTGGTCACCCGGGCCACAGGGCAGCCGCCTCTTGCAGGAGGAGGCGGTGGAGGCGGGCTCTCCGAGGTCAAGGGCCGGCAGGATCTCCCCATGGGGTCCGGCTCATTAATGAGGTCTCTAACCTGGACCTGGATGGTGGGGGTGGGGGTGGGGGTTTACCCAAGGTGGCCCAGTCCCTGGCACACACACACACACACACACACACACACACACAGGGTGGGCGGGGGTGGCCCGGAGCCAGAGGCTCGCTGCCTTTCTAAGAAGCCCCCCATGCCCCCTCCTGGCGGCACCCAGCCCCGCACAGCCGCAGCCTGAGTCATCACCGTCAACGTCCCCGTTTGAATGGGAGCCAGCCAGGGGGGCTGCCCGAGGCCCCGGGCTGGGAAAACAGGCGGTTTCCTCCAGGCTGTGGGCGGCAGAGGGCAGCTAGCTGGGGGCCAGGGAGGGTGTCCTGGGTGGGGGGCTCAGGAGGAGGGGCGGGAGGAGCTCCAGAACCTCTTAAGCAGTTGGCTTTTGTTTTCAAATGACCTGTTTAATAATTACCTTTGCCATCAAAGGAGCGGGGGCCGGGCCAGCAGCGCAGCGGCCAGTGGCCCCCGGGACCCCACCGGGCGGCGGCGGGCAGGCAACAAGATGCCCTCTGGCCACCACCGGCTCGGCTGGCAAACAATGGCCCGAGCCACATCAAAGTGCGATTGCCAGGCTGGAACTTTCATGGGCAGAGAGGCGGCGGGGAGGGTGCTCCGTGCCCAGGGGGCGGCGGGGGCCGGGTGGGGGCGGGAGGGGGGCGGGCGCGCTCGCCGTAACCTTGACCTGCCGGCAACGATTCATTCATTCCGCACGAGACAGCCACCGAAAAAGCCCGATCGGGCAACAACAACTTCATCCCTCCGTGGTGGACAAACAAGGGATTTAAGTTACCGGGGCGAGCTGGGGCCGCAATCACACTCCACCAAGGGGGTAAAAAAATAAAAAAAATACAGAAAAAAATAAAAAACCCACCTCCCCAAATCCGCCTTAATCCCAAACCCGGTTGGAACTCCCTTAAAGCAGCCCTCGACCTGGCGCTGGGGGAAAATCCAACTTGCTGGGTGTTTTTTTTTTTTTTTATTTAAAAAAAAAAAAACCTCCAAGGCCTTCTTCCACTCTGTTTTTTCCCCCTGCAGTATCCAAGCCCAGCCTCACGGCAGAGCCGTAAGCATGCCCGCTCCTCCCCCTGGCTCGGCGGCCAGCACCCCCGCCCCCCACGGCCCCCCAAGCCCACCTTGACCCTGACCCACGGCCCGCCCCCGCGCCCCGCTCCGGGGCCGGCCCCGGGAGACAAAACATCCACTCCCGATCTAAATTCGAGTCCCCCCACCCCGCCGGGGCCGAGCCCCGCGCGCCCCCTCTCCCTCCCTACCCCGCCCCCCAGCGCCGGCCGGCCCCGGCGAGCGGGTGGGGGAGGGGGCCGCGTTAGTTTGTTTTTCCCACCGCCGCGTCCCCACACCTGTTTTTCATTCATTCATTCGTTCGTTCGTTCGTTCATTCATTCCGGGATCCATCCCCGGGGCCCCTCCGCGGTCCTGCCCGGCTCGGGCAGCCGAGGACGCGGCGCGGGGCGACAGCGGCGGGGATGCGTCTGCGGAGCTGGGGGTCGGGGGGCGCGCTGGGGATCAGAGGACCCCCGCCCCCCGCCCCCCAATCGGCGGTACAGCAGGGTGGCTGGGTCCAAACGGAGAAGGCGCAGAAAAGGAAAGGCAAAAAAAACCCAAAAAAAGCCCCCAAAGCCCCCGACCCAGCCCCAAACCGAGCCAAGCCCGGCTGGGCGGCGGGGCGGGGGCGCTGCCCGGGGCTCCAAGTTGTTTTGCGCGGCGCGGCGGCGGGCAGCGGGCCCCTTTGTCTGTGCCCGGCGCGCTCACCTGGTCTTGGACGACAGGAAGGCGAGCTTGATGAGGCCGTAGGTGAAGAGCGGGAGGCTTTCCTTGGCGACGCTGGCAACTTGCAGCCGGTGCTCCAGGATGTGGAGTTCCATCGTCCGCCCGCGCCCCGCGCCCCGCCGCGGCTCATGGGCAGCGGGGCGAGCCGCGGCCCCCGCCCCCTGCGCGCCCCGCCGGCCCCGGGACGGGAGGTGGGCTCCGGCCGGGCCCCGGGACGCGGGCGGGGGGGGGGCACACGGACAAAGGCGAGGGGCGCGGGCGGCAGCGCTGGCGGAGCAGCGGCGCTGGGCGCCCGGCGCGCACGGCAGCTGCTGCTCGCTGGAACAAACAACTTGCCACTCAAACGCCGGCCCGCGGCGCATGCGCGCCCGCGCGGGGCCTGCCGGGACTTGTAGTCCACGCGTGGGGGGGAGGAGGAGGAGGAGAGCCGGGGCGTCGCGGAGCTGCGGCGGGCAGGGGGGCGGGGGGCGGGGCCCGGGAATGGGCACGGACGCGACCCCCTGCCCCCTCTCCCCCGGAGGGGCCACGGGAGAGGCCGAGCGCAGCGATGAGACCCAACCACCCCCACCCCGAGATGCCAGCTGTGTCGCCGTTTGGCGCTTGGGCATTTGGGGGGCTGCCCTCCCCGCCCCAACCCCGCGAGGCATCAAGTCCGGCGCTGCGGGGAGGCCTCGGGGAAGGGAGAGCGCGACAGGATAGCGCACAGAATCCGGGCTGGGGACCGAGCTGGGCTCTGGCGCAGGCTGTCCTGCAGGATGGGGCACCTCCAGGCTGGGGATTGAAGGATGAATGGGAAGCTCAGGGTGCAGCAGGGTTGGGGAGCTCCCGGGGTGGGGGCTCCCCGGGGTGCAGGCAGTGGCCTTCCAGGCGGAAGGAACAGCGTGTCCCGAGGCACAGGAGCGTGAAAAGCCCCCACAGCGCTGTGTTTGGCTTTGTTGGAGCGGAAAATGTGAGGGAGGACAGGCAAGAGATAAGGCAGGCACCGCCACCCCCAGGATGCCCAAGGGGGGTTTGAGCGGTGTGGAGGTGCCCTTCATCCCCCCCTCAGAGGGTTGATGGGGATGCCAGGGTGTGACTAGGGTCAGGTCTGAACCACAGCCAAGGACTTCCCTGCCTGGCCCTCCCAGGCCCGTGTCCCATTGCCCCTTTCCCAATGTCCCCCTACTGCCCCACTTCCTGGTGATTTTCTAGGCTAAAGTAGCAACAGATGGGGCTGAGGCAACAGTCTAGTGGTCCAGCACGTAGGGAACTTGCACCCGGCTGTATTCCTGACACCCCATACCTGGAGCCCACCTGGAGTGATCCCTGGATGCAAAGCCAGGTATGGTCCCAAAACAAACAAAACAAACTACCAGACTGATAGGACAGCGGGCAGGACGCTTGCCTTGCATACCTATGCCCTGGATTTGATCTCTGGCATCCCACACGGTCCCCTGAGCACTACCAGGAGTGATTTCTGAGTATCGAATCAGGAGTAACCCCTGAGCATTGGGGTCACCCCTGATGAATGTTTGAGTAACCCCCAAATAAAACACCCATACAAAAAGAGTGGTTTGGGCCCATGATGGGTCAGCTCTACTGAGCAAATCCTGCTTTGGCCCCTCTGTCAGGTAGAGGCCGATAAGGAGTCCATATTTCCAACCCAAGAGCTGTGAGTAACTGAGGACCTGCATCCCCACCCCCACACACCTTTTTGGGTCATCCCAGGGATGTTCAGGGGTCACCCCATCTCTGCTGTCAGGGATCACTCCTGGTGGTGCGCCGGGGACCCTATGGTGTGCTAGGGATGGAATGCTGGCCAGATGCTCTAACCGCTCCAGCCCTCTCCCCGTATTTTCACCAAAGGCTTTATCGGCCTCTAAAAGGGCACTGACAACCTTGACCGAGTTCCTTTCATGTCGCTCTTCACCCTTTCCAGACTCCAGCCTCATAAAGGCAGTGATTTCTGTCTTCAAGGACGTGACAGATACAATCAACCTGCACGGCACCCAGGCCACAGCCTGGCATTTCCACAGCTGGCCTCTGCAGATCTCCACAGCTGACCATCTTTGGAGCTCCACAGCTGGTCATCTCCAGATCCCCAGGGCCCCTAGAGAGGCAGTGAGGGGCCACACAGACCCTCGAGGTGTGGGAAACAGTTGAGGAGTACAGGGGACTCCAGGACCAGGGAGTGAAAGATGGTGTAAGATGCAGCTTCTAGAGCAGTCTCCAGCAGGTGTGCCTGGGTCAGTGAGGCAGGATCTGGCCACTTCTCTGACTTCTGCTCTTGTGGCCCAGATCAGCAGTTTTCATCCTGCAGGCCATGGCCCAGGAGAGGGTAGCGAAATCAACACAGCGCCAAAATGGGCCCCCAAATGGTGAGTGTGTGGAGGGATAGGATGGCCAGCATGCTGCGCACTCCGGTTTGCTCCCTGACATCACATGTGGTTCCCTTGAGCACCTCCAGGAGTGAACCCTGAGCACAGAGCGCTGTACACAGCGGGTATGGCCTCCAAACTGAAACATCCCCTTTAATAACTTTTTTTTTCCCTCGGGTCACACCTGGTGATGCTCAGGGCTTGTTCGTGGCTGTACACTCAGGAATCACTCCTGGCGGGCTCAGGGGGGACTTATGGGGTTCTGGGGATTGAACCCAGGTTGGTTATGTGTAAGGCAAGTACCCTACCTGCTGTACTGTCTCTCTGGCCCCCATCTCCTTCAAATACCCCCAGAAGAGTAGAGAGAATGGTAGGCTGCTTTGCACACAGTCAGCGGAGGTGATTGTGAGCTTATCTGTATCTGGGAAAATGTTCATCTCGGCCTAATGGATGTACATGTGCGCCTGCATGCTTGTGTGTGCATGTGTATGTGCCTGTGTCTGAATGTGTGTGCATGTGCCTGCTTGTGTGTGAGTGCATGTATGTGTGCCTGTGTGTGCATGTGTGTGTGCCTGAGTGTGTGTGCATGTGCCTCCGTGTGTGTGCGTGCATGCTTGTACATGCATGTATGTGCATGTGTGTGTGCCTGTGTGCATGTGTGTGCCTGAATGTGTGCCTGCATGTATGTGCACATGGTGCCTGTGTGTGCCTATGTGTGCATGAGTATGTGTGTGTGCCTGCATACATGTACGTGCCTGCATGCGTGTGCTTGTGTGTCTGTGTGTATGCATTTGTGTGCCTGTGCACATGTGTGTACAATGTGTGCATATGCACATGTGTGCGTGTGTGCATGCATGTATGTGCATGTGTGTCTGTGTCTGTGTGTTATGCCTGCATGCATATGCATATGCATGTGTGTGCATGTGTACGAGCATGTGTCCCTGTGTATGCCTTGTGTGTGCATGCATGTGTGTGTTGTGTCTGTGCATGTGCATGTGTATGCGTGTGTGCATGTGCCTGTGTGTGCATGCCCGTGTGTTCATGCCCGCGTGTGCATGTCCGTGCATGGATCTGTATGTGCCTGTGTGTGCATGTGTGTGCCTGTGTGCGTGTGTCTGTGTGTATGCATGTACGTCTGTGCATGTGCATGTGTGTGCATGTTTGTATGTGCCTGTAAATGTGTGTGCATGTGTGCCCGTGTGTGTGCTTGTGCCTGTGTGCATGTGTGTGCATGTGCGTATTTATGCATGCGTGTGCGTTCCTTTGAATTTTAGCTTCAGCTTCCTCTTGTCCCAACCTACATGGGTGAAGGCATTTCTGGTCTTTTCTTCCAGGGTCAGTGTTGCGGGCCTGATGGCGAGGGACTCAGTCTCCTGCTCAGCCTCCCCCATGGACACCTGGTTTGCTCAATATCAGAGTGATTTTCTTTGGCCAGAGAAATAGTAACATATGGAAGGCTCAGCCCTAGGCGTGGGATCTGTCCTGTTGGGAAGCTGCCCTGTGGCCACCCTGGAAGAAGGCCCGAGGGCAGGCCCCTGGAGAAGGGGGACAGGTGCTCCAAAGTTCCAGCCGGGTCCACCCCCTTCATTCTTGTTTTGGCTCACACCTGGCAAGGCTCGGGTTACTCCCGGCTCTGCACTCAGGAACTACTCCTGGTGGTGCTCAGGGGACCATATGGGATGCCAGGGATCGAACTCTGGTCAGTCGCATGCAAGGCAAATGCCCTCCCCACTGTATAGTCACGCTGGCCCACCCCCAGGTCGAGGACTGAGGTCATGTTGAACTTCAGCTCTACCTAATCACAGCCGTGCGAGTGAGCCAGGTGCAGCCTGATGGGGAACCAGCCACCATTCTGCAGAAATGTGAAAGCTAGAGCACAGTTGGCATTGGCCTGAGATTTGGGTGCAGTCTGTGGATGAGAACGTTCCCCCGACCTTCCTGCCTGCTGTTTGCTTTGGTCCATTCGCAGCAACACGGTGGCAGGGTTGGAGTCTGGAGTTCCCACATGTCCACCCTGTGCTCTCGCCTGGGTGCATCTCCCTCACCCTCCACCTTTATCTCCTCACCCTCAGTGGGTGTTCCCAGCATGCTTCCTGGAGCGTGGGTGAGCCCCAAATGGAGAGTCTATCCCCGAGGCACACACCTGGTGGTTAGCAACCCCTTCACAAGCAGGGGCACCCCCACCTGTCCAAGCCTGGCCTCGTTACCCACCCAAACTTCACCCACAGGGCCTCTGCCCGCTGGCCTGACAGGACCCCTCGTAATTTCCCAGAGGGCCAGAAGGTTGCGCGCTGGTCTCAAAACACACCAAACACTCGCCCTGTCAGGGCTGGCTTCTTCTTCTTCTTTTTTTTTTTCTTTTTGGGTCACACCCGGCAAGGCACAGGGGTTACTCCTGGCTCTGCACTCAGGAATTACTCCTGGCGGTGCTCAGGGGACCATATGGGATGCTGGGAATCAAACCTGTGTCGGCCATGTTGGCTGCGTGCAAGGCAAACGCCCTACCCACTGTACTATTGCTCCAGCCCCAGGGCTGGCTTTTTGCACCCTCTCCAGGCAGCAGATGACCTCAGAGGCATCCCCAGGACTGCTGGAGCTAGATTCAGGGGTCCCCACCAGGTCTTCTTGTGCTGCTGAATGGAGAGGGAGTTTGGACCATACGGACAGAGCCCCAAGGAAGCAAGTGTGCGGGTTTGCTCGGGCCGTGCTACCTTCTCCCTCCTCCTCTCCTCCTCCCCTCCCCTTCCCTCCCCTCCCCTCCTCTCCTCTTCTCTTTTCTTCTCTGCTTTTGGGTCACACATAGCTGTTCTCAGGGCTTATTCCTGGCTCTGAGCTCAGGGATCACTCCTGGTGGGGCTTGGGGGGGCCATATTGGGTGCTGGGGATCAAGTCTGGGTTAGACACATGCAAGACAAATGCCCTCCCCACTGTACTGTCATTCTTGTTTCTTTTCAGACAAC